GTAGACAGGAACAGGGTGACGCAAAATAATGAATATGGAATACTTATCTCTGATAACCACTTCAAATGGCATGGATTATGTTTCCTATTGACTGGCCACTGCCCGCCACCAGTGTCTTGAGATCATTGAGTATGGCTGAACTATTTTTTGTTCACAATGATCATTCTAAAGAAGCAGTGGTCTTCAGCTCTTTTGAGTTCGCAAAGGTCCCCAGTTCTACAGATCTAGGGTACACTGACAATTTGTGCACTGCTTGCTTTTTACTTGGAGGTGTGGTCCAACCTCCCCACCATCTTGGTGTCTCTGTACCCTGTAGGCGAGTGGAAGGCAGAGTTCACCCAGATCAGGACCTCCTCCATTCTGCTCACTGCCAAATGGGGATGCTGGGACACAGGTTCATAGCAAAAGCCTTGGGTTCCTTCCCTAGGTGGAAAATGGCAAGTCAAAATTTACTGAAATTTTGACTTGCCATTTTGTAACCTCAGAACTTGGGTGGACACAGGAAGATCTGAAGTTCAAGGCCAGCCTCAGCTGCATCAAAGTTTGCCTTGGCTGCTTAGCAACTTCAAGGCCAGTCTGGACGGGAGATCACGTCTTGAACCATAAACGTCCTAAGTCATGGATTCTGTCTTTGAATTGTTTGGTGTTTTTCTTTAGTGTGCTCTAAACCCAGCAGGAGAAATCTCTTCTTATTAACACTCTATTTAGGGACTGGCTCAGTGGCCTAAATAAGTGATGTGCAAGCATGACCAAAGTCTGAGTTCGAATCCTCAGCACCTGTGTATAAAACTGGGCACAGAAGCCCATTCCTGTAACTCCAGCACAGGGGTTAGGAGATGGGTGATCCTGAGGGTTGAAACATTGAGATCCAAGTTCACTGAGAGACCTTATCCCAAAATATAAGCAATACAGGAAGATACCCGATGTCAACTTCTGGCTTCTTCATACACTCTTGTGTTTGTGCAGGCATGTGCGCACACACACACACACCATCTATAACAGTGCCTGTTGGTCTTTATTCCCTGTGTCCAATCTCTGCTTCAGGTGTAATTTTTAAGATGGAATATTAAGAAGCCCCAGTTATGCCCACTGGGCCTCGCTTATCTGAAGGTGATTTACCTGCTGAGAACCCCAGCTGATAAAGCAGGTATGAATTTTCCCTACAGAAATCATGGTATTTTTGCCTCATCAGACTGTGCCAGTGTTCAGCCAGTTGAGCCTTCCCAGTACTGCAGGTGCCAGAGTACCCCCAGGACCTTTTCACACATGATCATTGGAGGCTGTCCTAGAAAGCGTACCCAGGATCATTTAATACTGATTCTTCAAGAACAGGCCTGTTCATGTTCCGTATGCACCATGCAAGATCACGGGAGCTCTTTTAGCTCTGAGTCCATGGAGCAAAGACTCACCATGTGAGATTATAAATCATCTCCAGGTGGCCTTGGACTTCCTTTACCAACTTTACCTTTACCAACACTTGGGTCAGCCAAGTCACCCAGTACCCTCCACAGCCTTCACCTGACACTTCCTCAGGGCTAGGCTAGCTCTACAGGTGGCCAGCTTGACCAGCTGCATTCCTTCCTAATGATTCAGTGATCATGGAGTAAGAGGAGAGATCACAGGGTAAGCAGGAACCAGCTCTGATGGGAGGCCTGGCTGAGTTCCCAATCTGCTTCTTGCCCTTATTTGCATGTCACCATTGGACAAGTTACCGAACTCCTTCCAGACCTTCACTCTTCTGGCTGATGGTGTGAACTCTATAATCAACGTGGCCTGCTCCTAGTGCCAAGCACGTTGTTCTTCCCACCTGTGGTGGTCTAAGAATGGCTCCCATAGGCTCACAGATTTGCATGCCTGGTCCCAGGGAGTGACACTGTTTGAGAAGGGTTGGGAGATGTGGCCTTGTTGGAGAAAGTGTGTCACTGGGAAGGGGTTTGGACTTTGAGGTTTTCAAAAGCCTAAGGCAGGTCCAGTGTCTCTCTTTTCCTGCCGCCTGTGGATCTGGATATAGAACTCTTAGCTACTGCTGGGTGTGGTGGTGCACGCCATTAATCCCAGCACTCGGGAGGCAAAGGCAGGCGGATCTCTGTGAGTTTGAGGCCAGCCTGGTCTACAAAGTGAGTTCCAGGACAGCCAGGGCTGTTACATAGAGAAACCCTGTCTCGAAAAACCTAAAAACAAAACAAAACAAAACAAACAAACAAACAAAAAAACCCTCTTAGCTACTTCTCCAGCACCATGCCTGCCTGTACGCCACCATACTCCCACCATGATGATGGACTAAACCTCCGAACTGTAAACCAGCCCCAATTAAATGCTTTTCTTCATAAGAACTGCTGTCATCATGGTCTCTCTTCACAGCAATAGAGCAGTAAGACACCACCTTACTTCCCTTGAAATACAGGTAACTAAACAGCAAATATTTTCTTTTTCCTCACCACAGCAAAATGTGGCTAAATGACCGTTCTTTGCTGCTTCTAATGTTGGTGGCAAATGATTTAGAATGAAATAGCAGAGCTAAAAAAAATTGACTCTATTTGAAAAGAGGGTTTAGAAAACAGGTGTGAAAGGCATTCTGAAGACACATTTCACTGAAAGAGGGTTGAGATCTACATACATGTTCAGAAAAATCACCCACTGACTGTGATTATGGCCAATCACATACCAAAATACACTGTACAGTGAGTCCCAAAAAACAACAGCTATAGTCCACTTTTGGTTATCTGTGGTAAGGAAAAAAAAATCCCAGGCAGTGGTAAATCTAGGAAATTCTATTTGGGCACTGGAATGCATTTTATATGCAATTCTTTCTTGGCAGGAGACTTACCTTTCTAATTATGTTCCCTTTAGGCTATTATTAAAATCAGTCTGCATTTCCCAAGCATATGCCACTGACAGCCAGAGGAAGGCAGTCCTCAAGCAACAGGGTAAGGAAGGTCTACCTGGGATTAAGTACTTGGAAATATACTATCAACCATAGAGTATATGGATGGGGCTGTGTGCTCATCAATGTGAACACACAAATGTGCTCTTCTAGCAACATCACACAAGAAACGAGAATTAAGGAGAACACAAAAGGCTTCCTGCCAAAGGCTTTTCCAGAGATCTGAGGACAAGGTCATGTAATTCCTCAAGTCATCTATTATCAGCTTTTATCTGTTAGGACTGATACAGGAAGGAAGACCTCATTCATTCTATTGCTCTTGTGATTTTTCTTCAAATTTTCTATTAGTTTTTAAGAAAAGACAAAAATAGGGCCAGGTATGTAAATCTGCTGCAGAACTCTTTCTTAACATATGCAAAGCTCTTGACTCCCTCCCCAGCACCAGAAGAAAGGAGGAAGGGGGGTGGATGAGAAAGACACTAGTAATCAGGAACACTGATAGGCACCTGTGGTCTCAGCTACACGTGAGGAGGCTGAGGCAGGAGGATCACCTGACCCCAGGAGCTGAGGCCTGAACAAAATATCAAGATCCCATCTTAAGAAGAGGAAATGTCAAAAGTACATTACACTGTATATTTTAACTCCACACATGGACATTTGTGCTGAAAAATAGATTTCTGAGGGTTTTACTGATAAATGCTGAACTCCAAAGTCTCTTCAAACACTGTTCCATAAACGTTCAATTTTACACAAAAGCCCAAGTGGTGTAATTCCTTAACCATGAGTAAGTTAACTTAATGCAACAACCAGAATCCATTCCCACATTTTCTTTTTTTTTTTTTTTTTTTTTTTTTTTTTTTTTTTTTTTTTTTTTTTTTTTTTTTTTTTTTT